ATAGAGCCTCCTAGTGCAACTACTACAACTACAATTGGAATTTCTGCGACTTCAACTACTTTCACAAATGCCTTTGGGAAGAAGAGAGCTAATGTGGTGACTACCCCCAGCACAAATAGAAAAAATAAGAAAAATAAAACAAAAGAGACTCCTCAGAATATGCAAATAATTTTGCCAGATCAGCATATATCTCTAGCACAGCAAAAAGCAGATAAAAATAAAATAAATGGAGAGCCAAGAGGTGGTGGTGCAAGTGGGAATAGTGATTCAGATAACTTGGATAGCACAGATTGCAATAGCGAAAGTAGCAGTGGAGGTAAAAGCCAGGAGTTGAACTTCACAATGGATACAAATTCCTCTGAGCGGCGCTATGCCTCATTGCTTATCCCCTCTCAGGAAGAAAAAACAAGCACCTCGGCTTCAAAAACACCAACGAGGTGAGACTGCCGTATTGCTTCCCTATTGTTTCACAGGCTTTTACCTATGCCAATGTAAATTTTCTGTAGCTTAAGTTTTACACCAGCTGGTACATTCCCAAAGTCTTGAGAGATTGAGTTTGCTTTATTTGCGTAGCTATTAAATAATACTGTCATGTTTGTTGAATGCAACCTCTTTAAAATGGTAAAGATAAGATTTTTTTGGCATTGCTGGCTAGTTTTTAATACTATTTTAGCAAACCAGCCAGTTTTCTCTCTGCGCTGTTTAAGCATCTATGTTGCATTGTCAGCTTCATTAGAATAGATTTTCAAAGTGAGTATGCTGGGAGTTTAAAAAGGAAGTGCCAGCTTTACTTATAATCTATTTACAGAAGCGGTTTCATTAGCTTTTAATTGTTTTATGGTTCATCATTAACAATCTCTTTGTTTTAAGGAGGGAAGAAGTTGATGACTCTGAGCACTTCACCTGCCAGGTTGATGGCCAATTTGATTTAACCTTGTCGAGCCAGAGGTGAGAGTCAGAAGAACTCGGTGAATGTACAGGGGCCACATGAATGGCTTGGAAAATCATTCAGTTGCCAGGGAATGACCTAGAAACTTTTATAACACCAGTTTCTAAATAGGTCATTGATCTGAGTCAAAAAGCTTAGATCCCATCTCTATCTGTAGTCTTTGCTTATTTTTACATATAAGTAGTATGAGTCTGATCCTCTACAGTTTTCTTGTTTCTTTTCTTTTCCTGTATTAAGGGAGGGGAGAGGGTATGGGGGTTGATCTGCAGGATACCTGGCTGACTGAGAACCCAGCTTCAATAAGAACGCAAACATGACGGGATCAAAAAGGGCAGCAAGCGAAAGGGCTGTTGCCAGACTGACTGAGGCACTTGTCTGGGAGTGGGAAGAGAGTCAGGATTTTCTTTTTTCTTTTATTTTTTTGACCCAGATTAAAGTTACGTGCAGAATGAGTGGATTTGTCAGCCCTTGTGGTTGGGGAGTGGGGGGTGTGTTTTGGATTACCCTTAAGAGTGTTAGAAATTGGATTTTGCCTATGTTCTGTTTTATGAACGTAAATTGTTTCTGCCTTGGACCTTTCGTCCAAGGTCTCTAACAAAAGCCTTGGAAACCTGTGCAGTTCATTAACTATGCTTCTGTTAGATAAAGTACACCTAAGAAACAAGACCGTATATAAATATCAAAACGGGGCTAGTATATTTTATTAAATTCTGCAGGTGCTCTTTGGCTCTTGCACTAGTCAGACTTTGTCTGAAAATAATTTCTAAATTTGCTCTTCCTGAATTCCTCTTCTCTTTAGTCATAGACGTGCTGATGACAAGGCTACTGTAATTGAAACTTAAACTCAGGCTTCATAACAATGCTTTTCTGAAAACATACCTAGACATGTTCAGACAAAGCAGAAAAAAGCTTTTGAAGTCTACTCTGGAATCGATATCCCACAATGGACTTCGTTCATTTCTTTCATATGCATTTTTTCTTGTTCTCTTTGCCTCAATCTTACAGTTATCTGAGAACAAGTAAAGTTCTCCATAGAACTTTCAAATGCCTTGGGCAGGTGTATTATCAGAGAGCTAGAACTTACTAAGGTAAAGAGAGAAAATGCTGCCATTTTAAAAGGCATATTGTCTAAACGTTGCTTTTCATATAATCAGTACGCTTTGGTTACTTAAACGTGGATAAATGCCTGAAGTTTGTATAAAGTGTAGTATAAACAGTTTGCCTGCAAGAAGACACAATGAACATAAAATGCTGTAACAAATAGAGAATAAAATGGATGAAGAAAAACTTGCATATGGTAAAGAGGAGTGATGCTTAGCAGGATAGCTGAAGCATGAGGTCCTCTGTAAATTTTCCAGCTATGCATAGATTTGCTGGGTTGAATCACATAAGGCTAGTTTTTCAATGACTCGTGAACATTGCTGCCTATGTTTCAGTGCTGCAGGTGAACTTGTGAGCTCTCCATGCTGCTTTTTTTCACCTCCGCATAGATCAGTTAGCCTAACAAGAGATTGCCAATTCTCTCTCTCTTTCTCTTTTTCTCTCTCACCCAAACTTGGCGTTGTTTGTATCACTAGACTATTGCTACAGCTCTATTAGTACAGGTAATGATACTTGGGCATCTGTTTCCAAATTGATATCAGTGGGACTTAAATACATAAATATGCTCAAATATCCGTGTCTCAGTTACCCATTCAGAAAATGGGGCGTGAGGGGTAGAAGCACTTTCCAGGAATCTGTAACAATGTGAGCTGAAAAACAGATATTTTCAACTACTTAGTAAGAAAGAGACGTTATTACCAAAGTACCTTTTCTTAAAAAGCTATTCAAAAAGGAGAACACAGTATAGACACATAATCAGGATGTGCCTAAGTGGCTGTGTACTGCCTCTTATAAACTATTTTAATCTGATGTCCTTAGTGCTTCTGGTATTACTTCATTCAGTTCAGTGTTCCACTTTTTGGAGGAAGGGTATAGGCTGTGGACTAAAAGGTTAAAAAAAAAAAAACAAACCTATCAAGTCACCCAAGTTGTTCCAGGTAGAAAATAAGAATGAAAACACTTCATGCTAGTAGTTTTAAGCTGCAGAAATATATACTGTAATGCTGTCATTTTATTCTGTAATTTGTAATCGCACGTTTCTGTTCCCAGACTTGACGGTGAAAGTCATTCAAATTCTTTGTCAACTACTTACAAGCCTGTTTCCCTGCCTCTGACCTCTCCAAATGTAAAGCTGAATCTGACTAGTCCAAAAAGAGGCCAGAAAAGAGAAGAAGGCTGGAAAGAAGTGGTTAGAAGGTAAAGACTTTAATTCTGTGTTTGAAAACTGTGAGCTTTTTAGCTTGTAAATTATTCTCCAATATAGAAAGTCCAGCATGCTTATGTAATTATTTAATTGTATAATTAATTTATAAAAAATCTACCCCCCTTACTCTTGCAGTGCTGTGAAAACAAATTGCAGTCCTAATTTGTAGTAACTCCTCGCTAATTTAACGTCAATATGACGTGAACATTTTATTTGGCACAAGGGTTTTCTTTACCTGTGACTTCAGTGGAGTAAAGGATAAGATAAAAGGGGGGATAAGATAAAAGGGGGAGGGAGCAGATGGCAGTGAAAAGCCCCTGCAGCAGGTGATTGCTTGCACATGAACTAAAGGCAGGGTGGATGTTAGTAGAGTAGAGGAGAGGTGGATGATCTCTTAAAGGCTAAAATTCATTGTGCTTTGGGCAGTGACCTTGATAGCTGATTCCATGGAAGATTTTGTCACCTTAAAGTGAGTGCTAGAGGTGCAATTAGATTTAAAGATTTTCTGTAAAGCAAACTTTCCCTTTGAAAATGTACTGGGTTTTATTATATGGCCATTAACACCTCCCTCAGTATCTTTTCTGTAACCTTTATGATGTCTGCTACTTGTAGCTAGAAATGATCATCTCGCTTTCCTTTTTTTGTTCTCTTTATCAAAAAGGAATACAGCATGAACATACAAGTGTTAGATGCTTTGGGTGCACTTAAGATGCCCTCCTGCTTTTGTGTTCTGCAATGGTAGTGTCCAAATATGCTCATTTTAGAGAATTTTAGGCTATGAGCAAACAACGTAATTGTACAGAGGATTTAATGCATTCAGATTAGTGGAAGCCACAGACTGTTCTTAATAAAGGTTAAAAAGGCAGTATAATCTGAACATTTAAGCGTTTGAACCCTTAAAGAGTTGGTTCGGTCTCTGCCTTTTGTTGTGTTCGCAAATGGGGTTCTCCACTGTGACATGGCCTTGCTAAATGTATGGTTGCAGACTGCCCACCACTCGATGAGTCGTGCAGGCATGAAACCATTAAACAGACAGCTGACTTTTCCAGGGCTGCACAGACCCCATCATTGACCCTGGAGCTGTTCCATCTCTCCTCCTGGGTCTCCTGAGTTTCATAGACTCAACTCATCTGCTTGGTTGGGTATTGTCTGCTCTTCTGCTGGAGATGGTAGGGTTCTAGAGATGACATCCAAAACCCGACCTTTCCTCATCCCTGAGGAATCAGGCCTTGTGTCATAAAGAACGCGTCCATAAAGTGTTCTGCACTGGTGTTTGCTATGCCCTGACTGATCAAAGCATGCGTCCTGCCAAAAAAGAGCTTTTTGGCGACTTTAGATGTATTTGCAAAATGCTCGGGAGCTGCATGCCTTCTTCTCCTAAAGTCTTTCCTGATCTCAGCAAGAATTCTTCTCCTCCCCTCTCCCCATGAGTAACCCCCTGGCTAGAAGGGATGTCTATCAAAGAAGTAACCAATGAAAACATCCCTTCTGCCCTTGACAGGCAAGTAGGCAGAGTTTTGAAAGACCCTCCCCCTAGCAACACTCTGCAGCCAACACCAATTGAGCAATTTCAGCTGCAGAGAGGAGGGCGCTGCTGTTCGGGAGCGAAAAGGTACTGTTTTGGGCACTTCTCAAGGTAAAAACCATTGAGCTTGGCGGGTAGGGAGGGAAATGGCAGTGGGTGATGGGTGGGCAGGGGCCTGGGCACTGGGATGAGCTCTCCTCATGTCTCCATGGATGATGGCATGGGGGTTCCTCGTGGGCTGAGGTGGAAGCAGACCCAAGGTACGGATAGGAGCCCTGTGAGTGATGTGGGCGTATTTTAGAAGTTAGGTGACGATGGAAGCTCTGGTTTGGGGAGGTAGTGACTGCGATACCTAGCTTGAGAGAGGAGCCTTGGGGCTGGAGGGGGGAAGAAAGCCCAAAGCATGAAACAGCCTTGGTAGGAGAGCTGGGTGCATGCTCTGAGGACCTGGTTTCTGGGGATGGGAAGGGTTGTAGCATGCTCTCCTGGCAGGATAGGGGGAAAGAAAAAACACCTTGGCAAGATGAAGTGATGCTTTAGAATGTTTTCATGTATTTAGATGTGTTCAAAATAAAATGGGTTTCCTTTAAGTCCTATTAAGTGAGAAACAATTTCCTGAGGATCAAGTTACTTAGAAGTTTCCAACAGAATTCCACTGGAATAGCTAGGTGAAGCTGGCAGCCTTTTCAGGGGGTGGGGGTGATTTGTACAGTGTTCAGAGGTGCCTGCACTGTGATCACAGTGGTTTCTGAAACCCCTTTGAATCCCCTCTAATTGTTCAGTGTTGAACTACTGCACATCACTGGCAAGCTTCAAAGTGGTGTATGGGCTTGAGAGGGTCCAGCCTTTAGAGTCTGGGGACAGTGGTGGCCCAGAAGGACCTTGGCTGGGGTCTGGATGCAAGCATAGCTCGTGTTCAAAGACTTTCCAGTACTGTGTGCCTGCAGTGACCCACCAATACCATGTGAATTAGAAAAATCATAAATTGACTTATTTCACTGAACACATGGGTTAGAGTATTGTGGCCTGACGGTGAACCTGCTTCTGAAAATCTGTGCTGCCTTCACAGTGGCTTCCAGCTGCTCCTTAAATCACAGCACTGCACAATTTAACCATCTGCCATCCACAGTTGTGTAGTGTCACCGGTAAGATCTCGAGGTCTGAGAGAGGTGGATACTAAAAGCGTTGTGAATGCAAGCGGTATTACAGAGCTGATCACTGGGAAAACATTGGAAAACCACCTTCTCCTTGCTATAAACCCTTGCGACAAACGATCAAAGTAGCTAAGCCATGGACTTTTATATTTGAAGCAGCACTATTTATGTAAATTTAGGTTGATAAGCTAAGGATTTGTCTCACTTTGAAGGTACACAAGATAAAATAAAATCCAAAAGTGTTTCTGAAGCAGTGTGAGGCACATACACCTGTGTTACAACAGTGGTGGAATAAATGCTTCTGGATAATCCTCGTCAGGTACTGAGGATGATGAGTAATTTGAGTGGGGGGGTGTTAGGCTCCAAAGGGTGAAGAAAATAGCAGAAAACCACCTGTCAGACAGGAAGGGATTTTTGTATGCCTTTAAAGTTTGAATACATTTCACAGATTTGTGATCTTTGTGATATAGGTCAAAGAAATTATCTGTCCCAGCTTCTGTCGTATCTAGAATAATGGGAAGAGGTGGGTGCAACATCACAGCAATTCAAGATGTCACTGGTGCCCATATTGACGTTGATAAGCAAAAAGATAAGAATGGAGAGAGAATGATCACTATAAGGTACAGTATCTAGAAATGAAAGTTTTGAGTTAGTCCACAATGTCATTTATTAAGAAGTTTGTTTGCTTTTTAAGACGGGACATATTTAGCTTCTTGGTACTAGAATAGAACATATATTACTGCTGCCAAGATATGCTGAAGGTCTACTCCTTCAAAGATAATCCTTAAGATACGCAAAAGCCAAGAAATAACTTATGGGAGTAAACATGCTATAGACTTGCAGATCAGTATAAAATTGAGGCTACAGAATGTTGCACAAAGTGGGGTTTTCCTTTGCAAAAGATAAATATGTTTGTATTTAACCTAGGGGTGGTACAGAGTCAACACGATACGCAGTGCAGCTCATCAATGCCCTTATTCAAGATCCTGCCAAGGAACTGGAAGACTTGATTCCTAAAACTCATATAAGAACACCTGCTTCGAGTACCAAATCAATCCATGCAAACTTTTCATCTGGAGTCAGCACTGCGACTGCTTCAAACAAGAACTCCTTTCCTCTCGGAGCACCGCCCCTAGTCACATCGCAGTCATCAACACTATCTACTTTCCAGCCTACTAACAAACTAAACAAGAATGTTCCAGCAAATGTGCGCTCATCTTTTCCGGTGTCTCTTCCTCTAGCTTATTCGCACCCTCATTTTGCCTTGCTGGCTGCCCAAACTATGCAACAGATCCGGCACCCTCGCTTACCTATGGCCCAATTTGGAGGAACTTTTTCACCTTCACCAAACACTTGGGGACCATTCCCAGTGAGACCAGTTAATCCCGGCAGCACAAATAGCTCTCCAAAGCATAATAGTTCAAGTCGTGTAATATTTTACAGACGGAGTCTCCTGGATTAACTACTTCTAGTTGTCCCATTACTGTCTCTTCTGTAGCTGCTTCCACCCAACCGCTGTGTGTAACCAGTAATCGGACTCCGTCTTCGGTCAGAAAGCAGTTGTTTGCCTGCGTTCCCAAGACGAGTGCTGCAGCAACAGCAATCTCAACTGTGACGAGCACCTGTAGCACTCTGCCATCAGCTTCCTCTGCCCCCCCAAACAATGGGCAAGTGCCCACAGCATTTCTGCCATCTAATGCTCCACAAACGCAGCATTCTGCACTTAAAGCGGACTCTTTCTCGGCTGTCTCAGCACCCAAAGAGAAGGTGTCAACACCAGACCAGCCCGTTGCAAATGCGTGCGCACCATCTTCGGTTGCAACTAGTTGCAGTATGTCAGCTAGTAGCAACTCAGGAGTCACCGAAACTCGCCCGTCGAGCAGCCCTGCACTGCTAAATAATGTCCAAGATGAAATACTGCCAACCAGCATGTCGGAGATCAATTCTTCCATGTCGATGCCTTTTTCATCCAGCTCAGAAACTGCTCCTTTAAGCTTAACGTCACCCAGGTCAGTTGTTGCAGATAATCAGGACAACAGTAACTTACCTCAAGTAGCTGTACCAGCACCTCGAGTTACTCACAGGATGCAGTCCAGAGGTTCTTTCTATTCAGTGGTACCAAATGCAAACCTCCATCAAGATCCTCAGTCTATTTTTGTTACGAATCAAGTTCCTTTAACACCTTCTCAAGGTCCACCCGCTGCAGTGCAGCTTTCATCAGCCATGAACGTTATGAACGGTTCTCAGATGCACATTAACCCAGCAAACAAATCATTGCCTCCTACCTTTGGGCCAGCAACGCTCTTCAATCACTTTAGTAGTCTTTTTGATAGCAACCAGGTGCCAGCTAACCAAGGATGGGGAGACTGTCCACTCTCTACCCGAGCAGCAGCTGACCCATCTTTCACTGTTCAGTCTACCTTTCTGAATAACTCTGTGATAGGACACGTGGAAAACGTGCATCCTGACAACTCCAAGGCTCCTGGTTTCAGGCCACCTTCCCAACGGGTTTCAACCAGTCCTGTAGGTAAGTCACTAAGATCGTGCACCGGACAGAATTCTTTCTCCAACCATTACACTTTGATCATCTCAAACTGATTGAGAAGTAGTTTACAAATGACAGTTAGAGAATACTATTGTAATGAGGATGGCCTGTTTTTTCCAAGCACTCTTTAAAAATGTTGATGATGATTTTTTTTCCTCTTTTCTTCAGCTCTTCTAGGATCTTAGATGTTGGGAATATTGCAGACGTTGCATTGCTTGTCTTCTGTAAGACACAGGAATGCTTCCACCTGTTTGTAGAGTTCAGGGTAGCATTGATTTTAGCTTTTGGGTTGGAATGGAACATAGGGTCGGGTGATACCAAACATAAAACAGCAGGGCAGGACTCTTGACAGGTTCCAGCTGCAGAAGTGACTGCAAGCAGTTGTTCAATATTTTATCTGAGACTCCAGCTTGACTCAGTGAGGGTAAACTCTCTGTACTTTTTGTCTCTTGATATGGCTCTGGAATTTTAATAAGCTTATGTTGTGCTTTGGGAAATTGGTGTGTTTTATTGCATGGTGTGTTTTATTAGGAAGTTACTGTCCTTCTGCTGTTACGTATAGCAGTTCAGGCTTATTTGCATTTATTTGAAATGGGTTAGGAACACTCACAGTGAGCTCCCTGCCCTTGCTGTGCTCTGCCTTAAGGATAATTATCATCTTAGCATTCAAACTATGCTGCAGACAACTGGCTGCACCCATTTGGCTGGAAGGGACCCTCAAGAGATCTAGTCTGTGCCACCCTGTTCTCCCCTTCATTCTTGCCATAATGGCTTTATGGAGCCTTGAAGCTGGGTAGCTAGAGAGCCTTGCTTTGAAGTTGTCTTTACCCTGGCAGTGTATGGTAGATATTTGGGTTAACGCTTCAGGACTTGAATGCTAGATTGGGACAAGTCAAGTAGTTTGACTTTCAGACTAAAGGAGAATGGGGCATTTGGACGACGTGGTGGTGAGGAAAGAAGATTTTCAGCATTCCCAATCCTCTCGGTTGATTTACAAACGTGCAGGACTTCTGAAAACCAGAACAATTCTCTCTGACTAGCTTTAACCACAAAACTGGGATGTTTGCTATGACTGTAGTTTTCTTAATAGTTTAATTTGGGCTGTATAGCTCTGCAAAGCAAGTGAATACCTAGAGCTCTTGTGCCATGTCTAGTCCCAGCGCAGTAAGCAGAACCAGGTGTAACTAAGACTGTGGAAGGTAAAGTTACTGGACCTTGTTTATCAGAAAGGCTGCTAATAAAAGAATTGCCAGACCCTCATCAGCAGACTCCAGAAACACTTTATGTTGGCTCAGCTTTTTCTCTGCAGTGCTCTAAACTGGGAGTTGGCTGTTACTGGAATAACCCCTGGGGAAGGAAGCTTATGGCAAATGGGATCTGCTGATTTTTCTGATAATCGCATCCTGTATATACAAAGACGGCTGACTGGGAAGTCCCGTAGTAGCAAAAAATGTTGCTGTTCCCTTATGCTAAGGTCATCTGTTTGTCATTGGGAAAAATTTCTTGGTCCTTTATATATCCTTAAATGACTGTAAGTATTTAAAAGGTAGTCTAAATCTGTTTCTTCCCTGAGTTAGGAAGGTTAGGTAGATACCCAAGGAGAGCTCACGCGGTTGACTTTGGGGAGATAAGTGTGAAGTTCTTCTCAAGTGAAGCACAAAAATATTTGGACAGAACACATGTTTTCTGAGCTGGAATTTGATTAGGATATTGCAAAATGAAGAAAAACTGCAAATAGGTAGATGTGCTGCTAACGTTCTGCCTGGCAGGAGGTCACTGGTTAGTCAGGTCTTTAGTTGGTTCATTTAATGTCATTCTACTTAATACTGCTTTTGATGACCATCGTTTCAGAATCTAAGTTGTGTGTCACACAGGAGTAGGAGGGGTGTTAGGGGAGCCTGGGGAGACGGGGGTGTTTTGAAGGTGTGATGGTGAGGAAAGGACCGGGGACGGTAAGCTGAGGACCTCTCCAGTGCCTTCCCTTGGAGCATAAGTGTGGTCCTGTGGTCTGTCCACCCATCTCATTCACTGCCTCTTCCCAGGGGAACAGACCTTTCCGTTCAGCTCAGCCCCTGAGGTGGATTGAACTGGGGACTACCTTGGCTGTTTCCATAGGGTTCAGTGGCAGGTTTTATGAGATTTTGAGAAGGGGGAAAAAGGCCAGTCACTGCTGGCTTACGCTTTGGCCAACAGAAGTGCGATGGACAAGGAGCAGTCTGGGCCTTGCCTGGCAATTCAGTACACTTCTGTGTGATGAGAGGGATTAGTAATGGCTATCAAAGCAGGTGGACACCGATCTTCTAATCTCGGCTGTGCCTCTACACCTGATGGAGCAGAGGTTTGTCTTTTGTGCCTGTCTTGCACAGTTGGGCTGTGGCAAATTTTTCCACAAATCAACATCTCTTGGTGATCACCTCTAAGCTAATTTGGTGGAGATTCAATATAATTTGATTGTGCACTAAACCAGCGTTTTCTTAACAAATTGTCACTTCAGGGTGGAGTTTGGGTGCTACGCTTTTCCTATTCATGGGTAGGCTCAGTTGTGGCTTGAGTTTTCTCTGATTCACTGGTTCCTTTGAGGCACAGGTACACGTGCAGATCTCCTCACCAGCTGTGGATCTGTTCTGGAAATGGCCTTTTGTCTCACTTACGTCTTTAGATCTCTTGTCCTAGCAGCTTGCAGATTGAGGGCAGACTTAGCCCAACCATTTGGGGAGGCTGTAGAGAAGACTGGAAGAAGTCTATTTGTTACTTCTTTCCTCTGCATTTTGAGAAGGGGTTTGAGACCTTGCTCACATGGCATTAAAAGTTATCACAAACTTGAAATATGCCAGCTTAGGAAGCAGCACATGAGTATGAAGTTGCATGAAATGGCTGGGATCCCTGTTTTACATGGAATGACCAAGTCTTGCAGCTATTTCTCTAAAGGTGGAGGTAGCCCTTGCAGTTACCAGTTTCTGCAGAAGTGCCTGGGTGCTTTGATAAACTAAATTTTGAGCAGGTTTTGTGTGAGATTGATACACCAGTCTCAAAAGCTCGGTTATACTTTCAGAGCATGATGAAGAGTTTGAATTCATGGCCCAAGTAACTGTAGAGTACAGTATTGCAAAAGGTTTTGGTATTACAAAACCCTATTTTGTTGGTAAGTACATAAATAGGAAACTCATTACTGAAATCAGGATTCTGTAAGTCATTGTTCATAGAAGCCATTTTTAATATTGAGCAAAAGTTTTTTTTTTTAATCCACTTTTATGAAAGTCAAGATAATGATAAAAAGTGTTCTTTACAACCTGAAAACTGACTACTCTGTTGAATTTGTGCATCTCTGGCTGTCACACTTCCTTCAACCTGTAGAAAATACACAGCAGTGCTGAAATGGCCTTGGCTGCACAGTCATTGCACTTTGAAAGCTGTGTACCCATCCTACCAAGCCACAGCTGGGCATCTCCCTTCTGCAGAAGAGCTATTTTTGTCATAATCTTTGCCTTGTTCTCTGTTTAGGAAACCAGCAGTCCCCATGGGCAGCAGCAGCTCTGTTATCCCTTCTGTATGGGGCAGAGACTCAGGATCTTCAGTGGTTTGTCAGCCAGCTGGAAACTTGCTTTTGATGTGTGGTGGAATTGGTCACCATAGGGGCCTTTTAATTACCTCTGAGTTGACTTTTGCGGATGGAGGGTTAGCAAGAGCATCCCATCAGTAGCTCCATGGCAGATGCACAGGGGGAGCCCTTAGGTGGAGGTGCTGCAATCTGCTTACAGTTAGGCTCTGTGCTGGAGGCCAGACTGCAGCTCTAGACAAACGCAGATCAATCAAACTGCGTTTACAGGCAGCCTGCACAGGCATTAGCATCCTCCTTAGCCTTGGAGTCTTGCACTTTGTGCTGTGACAAACCCTGAAACTCTCCTCCCATGCTCAGGTTCCCTCGTCTGAACACCCCATGTTCTGTTAGTGGTGGTGATTTATTTCTCCTTGTCTGTAATGGAGACTTCTCTTTTTTAACCTTTGGGGTAGGGCTAATGAGAAAAATACCTCTTTCAAATCCAGTGAGTCATTTCTGTCCATGTGAGCAGGTTGGATTGGGCACTTCCAGAAGCAGTAAATCAGGTTGACTTGGTTGATAATACTGTGGGAAAAAGACCTGGCTTTCAGGAACAATGAATCCAGGCGATGAAAGGTGCACCTCTAGTCTATGACCTAAGGTATTGCCTGTCACCACTGCTGTTTGCAGACTGCTGTGGTGTAAGTAGGTACAACCTTCAACCTTGCTCTGCAGCAATAGAGGCTGGTCCTGGTTGTGGTCATTTTCAAATGTTTAAAAGGTTTTGAAACTAGTCTTGTTTAATAGGCCCTTGAAACTAAACCCAAAACTCAGGTGAACATATGGCCATGCCCGTTTCTGCTTTCAGGTAATAACGTGTGATAAGAGCTTTTACAACATTTTGGAAAAGTACTTAAAAACTTTGGCTTATTAAAAAACTGTAATTCCCCCTTGCTAATAATTTTTGTGGGACTCTCAACTTTCTCTCCATCTCTCCCTTCCCCTTATGCATCCCTGTAGAAAGCAGCCCCCTCACCTGTTGTGCTGTGCATCGTCAGCCTTGTTTCTCTGGACACAGCATGCTCGGACCAATCTATGTGTGAATGTACCTATAGGATGGCAAAAACCGTACTGCAGCAAACTACTTCTCTGGTGCCGGGTTCCCCTGGGACTTTCAAAGAGCCCTTTATCCCTGTTTGGCTTGCGTGGCTTTTTTGTAAGCAAAGATCCTTGCCACTCCCAGCTTTCTCCTTTGCCCTCCCTACTAAGATCATTTCCTTTCAGTGACCAAAGGGATGGCTCTTTTTGTTAAAACTTCAGGCCAAAACAGAGAGCGTACAGAAATGCCTTCTGTTGGTTTCTAAGGGAGAATCGTGCACCTGTAAAATGAACTTACCATGTGCAGATACCCCCGAAGGTGATGAGATGCTTTAATTATATTTGGAGCACTAGCTCTCTCTGGTGCTTTGAAGCAGGTTCCCAAAGAGAGATACTTAATCAAATTTATGTTTATTTCAGGCTTACCCTCTCTAGATCCATCCAACAGCTCTACAACTTCTTCTTCAGGTCCTTTGACAGGCTTTTCAGCAAACATACAAGGAGCACGGGTTTACCTTCAAGGGCCAGCGCCTGTTGGGACTCCCAGCTTTAACAGACAGCATTTTTCACCACATCCTTGGACAAGCGCAACAAATTCATGTAGGAACTTCATGGGTCTGTCTTAGTTAACTGTAAATTCATAGCTATTGTCTTTAGTAGATTTGTAACTTGAGGGGAAACTACCCAGTGATGCACAAAATGCTTTCCAATTGCTTTTAGCAGCTGTGAGAATGGCCTGCAAATCCCAAGCTGTACTATTTTGTGGTTTTTCCCATGCCACTAGTTCTGGTAACATTACTAAAGGCATATTTGGGCAAAAAAAATCAGTCATCGTAGGCTCTGAGAGGAGAGGGCATGAAGCTGTGGGGGAGTGGAGGTGATTATACCAAGCTAAAGATTCCCCTCTAAATAGTATGAGTGTAATATTAGGTGAAAATGTCATGTTTGCCATGGTTTGAAGTTATACTTGCCTTCTTTTTTTTTTTTTTTTAAATTGGGATTCTGGAATTATTTTATGTTACTTAAAAATGCTCCAAAATCTTTACGCATCATCTGAGGTAACAGTGGGGTTTCCTCCTAATGGGAAGAACATGGAAGTAGCTTTACAGAAAATATGGGTCTTTGATTCAGAATCTTAAGTGAAGAGGCTTTTCATGTCACTGCATGCAACTTCATTGCCACTCTGAGCTTAAGAACCACAACATTTAAATGGAAGTTGGATTTCCCAAGAAGAGTCAATGACACTTCTGAAGTTGGTGGGACTTAGACTCTTACGTTACACATGTGGCTTTGGGAAGCTGTCTAATTTCTCTTCTGCTGGAAGTGGTGGATACCAAAACCAGGCTGTTTAGATATTTATGGTATTTTGGCTGATGTTTTCACCTCTTCCTGAAACTCTTCCATGTTTCTTATTCTTTCTTGTAATTAATTTAGATGTACTGCTATGTCATGAGAATATCACATGATTCTGATGGCTGAAAGCATTTGTATTATAATGTTGATTTTAGAGTTAAAATAAAGTCTAAACAGAATTTCTGTGAAAGACTTGAAGAATGCTTGCCAAAAAAAGCCTTTAAAACCTTTTTATCATTTGCTTTGAGATAATATTGGGGGGATGGAGCGGGTAGCATTTATGCTCACTAGCTTGTGTGCTTTGCGTGTAATTAAGCAAGAGAAATATTCTTTTCAGCAGGTGAATCTCCTATTCCTTCAGTTTCGTCAGGATCATCTTCGCCCCTTTCAGCTGCTTCTGCACCTTCTAACTTGGGCCAGCCAAAAACGGGTAACACCAATCAAGATCGAAAGGTACCCCCTCCCATCGGGACAGAAAGGCTTGCTAGAATTCGACAAGGAGGATCTGTCACTCCTACACCCTTAGGAACCAACTTCACGGCTCCTGTTGGTCATAGCGGTATTTGGTCCTTTGGAGTTAACAGTGTATCTGGTAAGTCTGTTGTACAGCCTGGGGTAGCCTAAAGAAACTTTTAGGGCCTTTCAGAAGTATAACATTTGAAAAGAAAATTGGGGAGGAGGAATAAAGTTCCACAGTCTGTAATCAACTTTCATCTAGTACGTCCTGAAGGGAAAACTGGTGTCAGTGGTTGGGAGAGTGCGTATCAATGAAAGCCCTGGGTTTTCTCTCCTAATGTAGGTGGTTCTCACCCAACCTAGATTATCTGTCAACGTACACTTGTAAACCCTGAGAAGAGTTCAAAAATTTCATATTAAGTCTATTGAATGATACAGAATTTAAAAAGTAAACAGCTTTTATCTGTTAAGGGGGTCCATTTCCAAGTCTGACCCTCAGCCTAAAAGGACAACTGCCTCTGTCCAAGTTTCTAGCTTGCTTTCCATTAACATTTTTAAATGTTAGTTGTGGTGCAGCTAATGCATCCAGAAACATATAGTTGTGGATGCTGATTTTTGCATTGATCTCCTCATGACTCCTGGGTAGTATGGGGTAACTTCTGTTCCAGGCAGCCCCAGTTTCAAAACAATGACTTTGAAACACTGAAGTTTTACGTTCAGTTTCCTGATAGTTTGAGGTTTTTGTGGAAAGGAGGAGCTGCAGCATTTGAGGTGTAAAGCGTTTCCATTGGTAACTTTAAAGACAAATGTTTAATAGTCCTGTATTTGTTAGTATTTTTCGGTGAAGCCCTCCATATTTTGGTTAACTTAGTGTCTCAGTATTGCTGTGTTTTTTTCAAGAAAAGCTTGTATGTGCTCACAATGCTTGGAGGTTTATTGGATCTTAGCTGTTCTGCTGTGGACACCTGAAACTTGCAGTTACTAGTAGTCCCCATTATCTGCACACTTGTCTGGAGGATCAAGATGAATGTACATGCGGATGGCATGTGCCTGGCCAAACTTCCCTGGCCTCACCAGTCTCTCTTCTTTAAAAAACTGTCATAAGTGTAACTTTTTTCTGTGTTCCTATGGTACATGAGAGGATGTGGGAGCTGGAGGGAAAGAAAGTGTGTGTGCATGTAGCCAGCCTTATACAGTGTTGCCTGCTGCAGCTTCCCTGTGAGAGGCCTTGATGCTACAGATAAGACTTGTGTGTTTGCATTGTCTATAATGGGTTATTAGCCTGAAAACGGCAGGTATTTTCCTGCTTTGCGTAGGCTGTGGAAGGTCTGCCTTTGCTCAGAGCAGAGCCCTAAGATACCTCTGCGGCTGTGTGCTTTCAAGGAGCCCTTCGATGTATGTAGGTGTGTGCAGCTGCTGAATTCTACACCAGAGTATCTTCAATGAATTGTAATCAGCCATTTTCAATCTCCTCCTTTCCAGAAGGCTTGTCAGGTTGGTCTCAGCCTGTCATGGGAAATCATCCGATGCATCAGCAGCTGTCGGACCCGGGCACGTTTTCTCAGCATCAGCCAATGGAGAGAGATGATTCTGGAATAGTGGCTCCCTCGAATATTTTCCACCAACCTATGCCAAATAGTTTTGTGGATTTTTCTAAAGTAAGTTACAGAGGGTTGGATTTAGTCTATAAAATGACCAAGACTTTGTTGTATCTTCTGTTCTGCCTGTTTACACTGAACGTGTGTTCCTCTTCTACCATTGCTTGCCTCACCTAGTCCTGAACCTCCTTTAATCCCAGTTCTGACTAGAAAAGGTGCCCAAGCCTGGTGGTGCATTTAAACAAAACCAGAATTTGTAGATTGCAGGTGTTCTCTTGTCAAGTAGCTGAATGCCTCCATCGCTCTCCAGTATTTCCTTTCTCAGAGGCTGTCGCTCAGAAACGTTTCATAAGGCTTGCTTAGCTCTTGAGGCTGATTAAAGGTTTGCTTAATGCTTTCAGTACAAATCATGCCTGTGAATACTACATGCCTTTCGTAAGGAAACGGCAGGCTGAGAGGACCATTTCTAAGTCTGTTCCTTTTATGTCAACGCTGGAAAGTAGCTTGAGGCAGATGGATGTAGCCAAGCCATAGTCAGCTCAGCCACCACTGGAGAAATGTCCAGGACAATGTGCTCGACAGCAGACCTGCTCACAGCATGTTTCAGAAGTAGCTGTAGCATGTGCTCTTAGGATCTTCTAAATTGCAGAGCAGGAATCATTCAAACACGGGAAAGAAGTCTCATGATTGCAAAAAGCTGCTCTGTAACTTGCTCTTTCTGAACTAGAAGAATACTTTAGATGGCCATTAGTAATTTATAGAAAATCTTCAACTTGGAGTCTTGTAGGCTCAAGCTGTATACAGGTTTTGCTGAAGTGCAGCCCCTGGCTGCAGCCCTGCGTGCACCAAGGTTATCGCATGCTGCAGAGGTGAGAGGAGGGAGCACTGAGATCACTTTGTACAGATACTGTGTCTGGCTTTATGGGGTCATCTGAAAGTGATGTGCAGAGGCTGCTGCATACTGGTGAGGTGTAATTTCAGAAAAATGGGTAAACTGACTTGAATCTCAAGCTCTGAAGAGCCACCGTATTCCATACTCTGCCTAAGGGTGCAGCAATGCCCTGTTTCTTCACAGTGCTGAGATATATCTGCCAGTAGGTGAACGTTGCGTATGGATGTGAACTGCCTCTGTCATCTGGGCAAACGTGGTACTATGGTCATCCTCCACTACCACTGCCTTCTTCACCAACGGTGCTTTCTCTTGTTCCCTCAGGGCCTACCGATTTCCATGTATGGCGGCACTCTAATACCCTCGCATCCTCAGCTAGCAGATGGCCCGGGAGGCCCCCTCTTTAACGGGCTCCATACTCCCGATCCCGCCTGGAATCCCATGATCAAAGTTGTCCAGAACTCAACAGAATGTACTGATGCTCAGCAGGTAGTGTGGCTGCCTTTTTCCACCTTTGCTTACCTGGGGTTTTTTACAGTGTTGTGCTTTGTTTTGTTTTTCTTCATTTTTAGATAGGTGACATTTTTTTCAGTTGTTTGAAACTAGAATTGAGATCGTTTGCATGGCTTTTCCCCTACAGTGCGTGTGTGTGTGTTTATAAAAAATACATGGCGCTATCTGTACCAAACCTTTCAGGTAAAATAAGCAGCATTTCAAGACTGCTTAGCCAGGTAATCAACCTTTTTATAGGTGAGAGGGTTTATATCCATACTCGGCATCTTGCAGGTTGTCAGTCAAACCTTGGTCAGAGCTGAAGAGGGCTCCCTGCCTTTGGACAGTCTGGTTGTATGTTGGGGGGAAGCCTTAAGCTTGCCCTCTAGAGGTTAAACGCTCTGTTAAAGGAACCTTTATTTGTTTTCATAATAGACTTGTCTTTTTATTTCTTGCTGTAGATTTGGCCTGGCACCTGGGCACCTCACATTGGAAACATGCATCTCAAGTACGTCAACTGATTTAAGGGGGTCTATCCTTTTTTAGCCTTGTTGGGAATCTTTATGATCTTGAAGAACCCTGGGGATTTTTTAATGTGCCTAACTAAGCGATTTTCTGTGGGCTGTAACAATGGAAACTTGATTGCCCGTTGTATAAGAACAAATTGATTTACCTATACAAACTGATTCTGTTCTGCAGTTAGTTTAGCCATTTTGAACTTAAAAATCAGACAAAACTAGTGCTTTTGGCTAAACGCTACTGAACGCTCCTTGTATGCAGCAGAGAACTAGCTGATGACATGATTTCAACCTTTTAGGGTGGTAAATACATGTATGATTGTTTACATACTTAAAAGGAAAAGCTGAGTAAATTTCATGTCGTATAGTGGCTCTACTTTATGTAGCCTGTATTAATGTGAAATATTTACCTGAATATTCAATAAAAGGCGAACAGTATTTATAGGTTGTGTGTGAGAATTTTGGAAGAGGCTGTATGTTGTTGTCATCGGTAGCTGCTGCCGTGCCCAGCGATGCATCTTTTCAGGGTCACGTAATTAGCACATGGATGCAGTCAGGGTTTGGGGGAGGGTTTTGATCCGCAGTCGTCTGTGATACGAGGTCTGCTGAGTCCTTCCCCTTGCCAGTTGTTAGCCTTGTATTTTTTGTGTGTGAACACAGTTGTGCATTTTTTTTTTTTCCTTCTGGATTAGTTCTGCTGCTTCTAGCACTCTTTTTCCAGGTGGGTTGCCTGAGAGATCAGGTTTTGTTCAGGGGCTGGAGATAAGGGCTGAGTTGACAATGTGGCAATTGATGGCATCTTAATTTGCAGAAGGTAAATAGGTAGCTCATAGGTAAATGCAGGGTTTTTTCACCTGACTCACTGTGACCAGCTGCCTAGAAGCAGATTTTAGGAAAACAGACACCACTTTCCCACTAGAGAAAAACATAATATATCCAATTCTAAGCTTCTTGTAACCCTTTAAATCTGGTAAGAGCTCCTCAAGTCCTTTCCGTGAGGCAGAAGGAGATTTTTGCGTACTGCTTAAGATGAACATTTGTTCTCTAGCCAGGTGCAGAAGTTCTCCACTTTCTGCACTTGGACTATGCTTAGTTCTGCTTTTGCTCAGTGGCGATGCAGTAACTATACTGAATATCCACTCCTCAAGCAGATAACTACAGTGCATGTATTGTCCAATCTAATGGACCACTTTCTGTGGTCCCTCAGATGGAGACTTCTCCACCTTCTCCAGACAAATCCTTACATGCAACAGCAGTTGCCCCAGGAAAAGCATGAGGAAGGAGTACTGAAAACCCAAAGTGCACAAGCAATATCCAAGTACCGCAGGCAATTAAACCTCAGAAATGCTACTGGATGATCTATTCAGATATTTTTCCTAGTATTTGAGGAAGAAATGCAAAAAAATTGAACTGCTGCTGTTCCCTGATAGTTCAAATGCCAGAGGAGAAACGGTCGTATTAACAGTAATTGTATTGAAAACAAATTGTATTGTAGTGCAATAGGTGTTTGCTCTTGGGGTGAGTTGCAGGGGAGGGGCCCCTCCCCCACCCCACCCATGTGGGCTCCATGGCTGTAACAGGCACCGCCACCTCCTCCTGCCCCATTTGGGGAGCCACCATCTCCCCATCCTGGAGGGCTGCAGCTCCACGCTGGGTGGCACCGTCTACTCCACCACGCCGGGGGTAAGACGCAACACGGGGGTGGGGTTGTCCCTTGAACGGAACAGTGGCCTCAGCTGCCCCATCCCTGCCTAATTTAGGCAGCTCCTTCCTGAGCCGGTCCCTTCCTGGGCTGTCCACCTTGCAGCTTGGTCCCTGGGGGCATGGGTGCCTGCTCTGGGCACCAGATCCAGGCAGGCCCGTGGGGTGGTGGCTTCCCTGGCAGCCCAGAGCTGGAGTGGAAAAGGGAACCACAAAGTTTTTTAGGAAGATGCTGCTACTGTCACTGCCCCACAGTACCGGGGGGAGCAGGCAGAGGCAGTGCCTGGTACTCGCACCGCTGGGGAGCGGGCCACGGGCAGTGCCACTGGGATGGTGATGTAGTGCCGGTCCCTCAGGGGTAGGTCATGCCCGGGCATGGCTGGCTGGAGCTGGGGGAGGCGCAGAGGGCTAGCTCAAGTCTGCTCCCACCCAAGTTCACCAGCCCTGGGGGAAGGTACTGGGTGGCACGGCTCCCTCCAAGGGTACCCTAGGCCTGCCCTCTTGCCTCCTTTCTAACCCCCCCCTAAAGCCCCTGGTTCAGCTGTCCTTTTCTTTGCTGTCTGTCCTTAGGGCAGTGTGTGCCCCCCTCCCTGAGTGGGGCATGTTTCAGCTGAGCTGCAGGTGCCCACCCTGTGGGCGCTGGCTCCATTGTGTGCCTCTGGTAAGCTTATCTGGGGCTGGGGAGCCAGGCCCTGCGCTGGCGCGGTGCCACGGCAGGCACAGGTTGCGTAACGTGTTTGTGGTGCCAGGAAGGGTCCAGCCCGCGCAGGAGCTCTGGGTGCGCTGCCGCCCTG